CCGTTGGCAGTCTCTAGTATATATATATATATATACATACATATATAGGGCGTTGATAATTCACTATACATTCACATTTGCTTTTACGGTATATTTTTACATTGACGACACGGATGCACATAATTATCGGCATGGCCCCGTAAATTAGAGTTACAGCGATTTATCAAAAATTTAAATTGGACATGTAGACATGCGTTTTAGCATTTCAACCTTATACTTTCGTCATTTTTTTACGTTTGGAAACCGCGCACATAGCACGTGTCACATGTCGCTTGGTAGGTACATACAAACATATCTCGTGACCTATATTAACTTCTTTTGCATGCCGTGTTTTCGAATTGAGACTACGGGCTTCACATCCTGATCCGTCTCATCCCAAGAGATTGCCTAAGCGTCCAGGATAACATATATATCCGCAAAAGCTACATCCGAGATTTATCGCGCGGTATGTATGTCGCAGTTATACACGTCGATCGGTGCAGCTAGACACATCTTCCGAACGCCTCACGCAACAAATCGGCAGTACAAACCGGTACGTCAGCCAGTCAAAGCATCAGGAGAGCGGCTCAGATAAGTCTCACTGCGGCAGACAGTACCATGAATGCACCCGAGGAATGCACCCGAGTCTTGTGGTCTGAGCCAAGTATCATCAGTTATCCCACTAGACCACCCAGGGGACAGGTGCAGGCACCTCGGGTCTGTATGGTTATGAGTCATGCATCGAATCCGCACAGTACACAGTGTTGCCGCACAGTTGTTCACAATACTTGTTTGTGGCAAGCAGATATCGGGTCACCTAGAGGTTCATAAGCGGACGAGACGCCATCTCAAACCAAATCGTAAACCCAGTCCAAAATGGCTATGTGCGACACTATCTCCTACATACAGAGCTTGCGGGGGTACTTTCCCTCAGTAGAGTATGAAAAGTATACCTATCCATAATTCAGTAGTGAATGAAAAGTATACCTATCCATCCTGCAGTAGTGGATGAGATGTATACCTATCCATCCTTCAGTAGTGGATGAGAAGTATACCTATCCATCATTCAGTAGTGGATGAGAAGTATACCTATCCATCCTTCACTGGTGGATGAGAAGTATACCTATCCATCCTTCAGTAGTGGATGACAAGTATACTTATCCATCCTTCAGTAGTGGATGAGAAGTATACCCATCCATCCTTCACTAGTGGATGAGAAGTATACCTATCCATCCTTCAGTAGTGGATGACAAGCATACCTATCCATCCTTCAGTAGTGGATAAGAAGTATACCTATCCATCCTTCAGTGTGGATGACAAGTATACCTATCCATAGTACGCTTTCATGCCTTATTCTTATACCTGCGCTGAGCGGAGTTCCTCCGCCTCTGCCGAGTTCTGCGCGTGCGAGTCGCGCTTGAGGGTACTATCGTGTGCGTATGTATGTGTGAGTGTGCGCCCTCATAGTTTGCAGCAGTACTATACATATTACGACTCACCCAGACTGGCGATTTCCGCCTGAAGAGAGGCCGTATCGTCGCCCGCCGTGTTGTAGACTTCAGGGCCGATTCTCGACACAAACTGCCACAGGTCAATGGTGTCCAGCAGTTTGTTTCGCTCGCTTCTACTCTGCAGTAGGAGGTCCCAATTAGGCAATTCGTCACTCCAGCTCTCGATCCGCACACAGTACTCCATCGTGCTTAACAAGGACACCCACCGCGTGTACGGCACAATCTTGCGTATGTTGCGGTACGAGACATACATGCGTACTAGCGCACGCCCACACAACACACTCACCCCGGTCTCGTCTACATACACTAAAGCGTCTACACAGTTCAGGGCCTGGTTGACGGGATCGTAGCTTGTCTGTGGGGTGCTGGGTGCTGGTAAGAACAACCCCTTCCCCGCTTTGTTTTCCTTGGTGTAGTTGCTGTCACCGTTGTATTTACTAATATTTGTGTCGAGTTTGCTGCCGCCACTGTAGGCTGCTATCACCATAGAACTCCGTCTCCTGGCCGGGAAGGCGGACACATCCTTCTCCGAGGTATCGTTGTCATGTTTTTCATCTAGGTATTTACTTGGCATCGGGTGGTGAGTCACTCTTCTAGTTAGCGCCGAGTGCGTATCCTTATACGTTTGTGTAAGCTTGTCTTTGGATGTGTATCTTCCCATGGGGGTTGCCAACCTTAACGAGCTATTAGGGGACATAGGATACCTCACATGGCCCGGTGTATGTGTTTCTCTCCGCTTCCCATACGAACCAGGTCTTACTTGAGCAAACGCATGTGTTCGCGTATGTCCGTGTATATTATGAATGTTGTGAGTATTGTAAGTACCGTGGCTATTGTGGGTATTGCTGTGTTGTGGTTTGCTCCTATGTCTGCTCACATGCCACCTGTCTATATGTAGATCCTTGTGAAATGGTTCCCTCTCCCCTCCACCTTCCGTATCATCGTCATCGTCGGTCGATGTGTAGTCACTTGAGTGCAGGTCCACCATCTCCACTGCATTCTCATCTAATAGTGACAAATTCCTACCCACTCTACTTCCAGTTTCCTTACTGACTGGGCTAATGATTAGTCCATCAACATTGTATTGGTGGCCTGATGCATTGCTTGCCGTTGCATATTTGTCTGCTTGTTTGTTTGTTGTGTCAACCTCACGTGCTTTTTCAGCGACCACTGACTTCCCCATCATATCCATACCAGCGCTACTGTTACCACTGCCTTCTTCAGGGCGTGTTAAAAGTTTAGCTACAAACGCACAACGCTCGTAGGCTAGCGCCCGCTTGCTCGCAGGCACATAGATGTAGTCGTGGTCCGGGTTCGATGAGATACCTCCCCGTTTAACAAACAAGCCCCCTCTAAGTACAGCAACTGTTAGTGTAACAACTATGACAGATGCGTACGCCCATAGTGCTGCTGCACTGTATATCTTTAGATTTGGGGATGTGGAGAAGTAAACATATAAGCCAAAGAAGGGGATAGATAAACCTATTAGGCCTAGTAAGAGTTTCCTATGTTCCCTGGTACCTAACCACCGATTGAGTGACCTGGCTGTGAGTTTTGATGATTGGTGGTGTCTTCTATTGACTAACATTGCGCGCGTGTGTGTGTGTGTGTGTGTATGTGTGCTTGAAAGGAGTTCCGGACATATACGTAAGTATACTGATGAATAAAACAAAACAAAACTTATAGTATATGGATGTTCTAGACCAATATTGTTTAATGTGCGCTGGTACCTGTGTGTGAGCTTGTAGTAATAAAGTAGTCTACGGGGCCCGATGCGCTACTCTGTCATAAAACGACAGGGTTTGCGATATATAGATATAAGGATATATGTAGGTGCATATATATA